CTCTCCCACACATACAGAGACAAGAATTGTACATATGGAGACTAGTTAGGACTTCATGTAGATTTTGAGGTATTATGGTGGAAATAGTAAGAATGGTAAGTAAGAATATGTTGTAAGGAATATTTTGGTATGTTTGGGTCAGTAATTGTGGCTAGCTAAGTTTAATCATAAGATAGAAGAAGACCATCCTTTCCCTATACCACGTTTTGGCCTTGTGTCTTATTTTTGTATATTATACAAAATAAATATCGCTCTTCACTATGGTACCTAGAATTTTTTTAATTTAAGAGCAGTACTAGACTGGTGTTTATCAATTTATAGTTGAGTTGGCTAGATGCAACTGTAAATTCTATGCTAACCGTTTCTTTAAATGCAATGTCAATTGCTATCTACTATCCTCCTGATTACACTTTTTGTTCTCACTCATTAGTAATGTTTATGTTTCTAATTCTTCCACAGCCAGTAACCCCTTGTGTCTTAGTGGCTTTACTAATTTGCTTGGGGTAAACCTGGTTAAAAAAGAAAATGTAGTTCATTTATCTCTTTTTGGTTCGTTTTTGTAATTACAATATTTCTATTTCAGTTATGTTTTTTTTTTTGTCAGCAATTTCCTCCTGACTTTCAGTAGAGTTAAATTTTTATTCAACTCTTACTGTTGCATAAATTCAACATGGGAATTCAGTGACATTTTGCTCAATTGAAATTGTTCCAACATTTTATATCTATGAGGAGTGTTATATATAATATCAATTTAATCTTTGTTGGATTAATTCTTCTTTTATAGAAACTTCATTTCTTTCTAAGTTTTCCAAATTGGCAGTATCTGCTGGTATCTCTTAACCAATTTAAATTCTTTATAATTGTTCTAAAGATATGAACTTATTTTTCTCTCTTGTAACCAATCTCTGTTTTGGTCTGATGGATTACTGCCCCCTGACGATAATCACAGGTGACATGACATAATATTTGAAAGGTTTTTGACTTTTGGAGAGGCAACATATTTTTTTTTTTTTTTTTTTTTAGCTCTGCTAGACACGAGTCATATAACTACTTCAGAGACACAAACTGAAAATTTTATTTGCAATCTTACTGATCATTTTGGTGACTGATGAATCAGTTAGTGTATTTTGTGTACCTCTTAAACAAACTCTCTGAAAAATTCTTACATCTGGAACTATGTTCAAAGACTTAGCCTGAAAACAAACGACAGAATCACAGGTGACCTTGAAGCAGGAAGATTTGCTGCTTTGCTTTGCTGTTGCAGCTTGGCATTGGAACCATGAAAATGGACCAAAATGGAAATATTTCACTCCCAAATTGTTGTGGAGTTTCAGTCTCAAGTATTCAAGACTTGATTAACCATATTTATCCAAACATTAAACACCATTTCATGGATTCAAACTGACTTTGTGAGAGGGTCATATTAGCTCTCAAGAATCAAATTGTAGATAGCATCAATTGGAAACTTCTCCAAGAAATTCCAAAAGAAAGCATGAAGTATCTTTCCATTGACATTGTGGTTGAACAAGAGCAGGCAGTGAATTATCCAGTAGAGTTCCTGAACTTACTGAATCCTCCTGGAATGCCATCACACAAGTTGGAACTAAAAGAAAATGTGCCAGTTATACTATTGAGAAATCTGGATCCTCTAAAACTTTGCATTGGAACAGGTTTAATTGTTAAAAAGATGTTTCCTCATCTCTTGGAAGCAGAGATCCTTACTGGTCCAGGAAAGGAGGAAAGAGTTTTAATTCCAAGAATCCTCTTAATTCCTCCAGATCCTCCTTTTAAATTCAAAAGAGTTAGTTTCCAGTGAGAGTGAGCTATGCAATGTCAATGAATAAGTCCCAAGGACAATCATTGAAAGTAACTTAACTTCATCTGATGGAACCCTGCTTTTCTAATGGCTAACTCCATGATGGTTGTTCAAGGGTTGGGAATGGACACAAGTTATTTGTACAGATCTCGAATGGGAAAACCAAAAATGTTGTTTATCATGCAGCTTTGCGGTAAGTTCCAAATAGACTAATTATATTATTGTTTTAATTAAAATTTAATTGTTTGAAAAATATTGTTCAAGCTTAATAAAAATTAATATGTGCTCAATGCATGAAGTGTCATCATTGAGCCAAAGACCCAATTAATAGCCCCCTGCAGGAGCTAGCTTAAATGACACCCAATAAAGCGGCTTTTTAGCTAGTATATAACAAATATTATTATCAACAGTATTATTTTTATTGTTTTTTTTATCTCTTGAATATCTTTCATCTTAAGTATGGATACAAACCAAATAATTAGATATTAGCAACTGCATATATGTGCGTTAACGTGCATAGACAGATAAGCAAATAAATATTTACTTAATTCATCTTATATTCCATGCTAAGGGAATAAATACTTAACACCAGATGGATAATAAAAGAAAGGATTATTGTACACAACCAGTACAATATGAAATACAGTACAGTTATACACACAGGTCACTCTAGTAATGAGTGCCACTAATTGGAAGATCGGACGTGCTTGCATCTTCTCTCGCTCACTCTTCTTCTAGTCTCTCGTAGACAGTTGAATTTATAGGTACTTACTACCTATAGTGTAATCATTCAAGGGGTGGGTGACTGGTTATTCCATTACATCAATTTAATATAAGGTGTAAAGAAAACTGTACTCAATATATTTAGACAAAGCTAAGAAGTATATATTAATAAATATACATATACCTATGTTTGTAGGGCAACTTAAAGTTTCATGATTTTCCCAAGTCATCAGACAAGAACTGGTGAATTCATCAAGGAAATATTACAAATAAGTTAATTATTCTTAGTTAATTTGTCCTTGTGATGTCTATGGTTTCTTCTAATAAATCAGAACAAAGATGAAAAGAGATGGTATGGTACAAAAATTAGTTACAGCAACAAAAAAACAGAAATTTTGAGGGCTTGGAGAATTTAACACTCACAAGACTTGTTAACTGTTTCCTCCTTATTCCTGGAGGAAACAGTGAATAAGTTTGAACCACTGAGTTGCAGAAGAAATGTGAAGAGGGATGAAAATGCAAAAAATTTACTTAAAGCAACAAAACATAGGAAATGGTGGAGAACTATGATCGCCCATGTCCTGAAGATACAAGGTACATGAAAGTAAAAGATTGAAAGAAACATCCACATCTGTGTTGTTTTTATTATTCAAGTTTAGAGAATTCACTTAGTGAAATCACTCAATGAAAGTAAAATGATGTGGAAATCAATTTGAATAAAACATGTCTTAATGAAACTATCTCCAAAAAAATTAGTTTTAGCTTATTTTACTATAACTGTGACGAAAAGCGAGACAGAACTGATTTTTGATACACTTTTATTTAAAAAGTAAACTAACAAATCATATTTTTGCACTACTTGATTCAGGGATTGAACTCACAACTATCAGGAAACTAAATTTGCTTAACTGACACTTTTATCTACTAGGTTATGTGTTTTGTAGAACAATTCCAAGATGGAAATTTGGACATAGATACTTCATATCTCTTATCTGCTTCTTCAATTGAATGAGAGTGTATGAAATTAACTGTCATGTAAGTGGTACAATTTTTTGAGTCTCAGACCTATTATAATTTTTTTTCTTGATTAAAGGCTCCTATATACTAGGCTTACTGGGAAGGTTATTAGTAGAATGTTAGCAGATTCTTTTAATCATCATCTTTTGTTTTTGTCTATTACTTCAACTTCACTTCATAGGTGTTGTTCATCCCATTTTTCTATCTATGATCAATCCTGCTAGATTTAATTGTCTATCCTGAATTAATGGTTTCTGATGTTTTCCATCTTTAACTTTTTTTTCATTTTAGTGGGCATCTGATCACATCATTGTTTTCTTTGCCTCTACTGCATGAAACAAAATATATACAATATTTGGTTATGTTCTCTTCTAGGGAAGGTTTAGTTTGAGAGAGATGCAAATGACATTTTATATTACTTAATTCAGGGATTGAACTCACAACTAACTTTGCTTAACTGATGCTACATGGTTTTAGAAAAATTCCAAGATGGAAACTTGGAATCAGAAACTTGAGATCTCTTGTCTGCTCCTTCAACTGAACTAGAGTATATGACTTATATACTACCAGTCATATAAATGATATAATTTTTGACATTTATATCTAATATTATTTTTCTTAATTAAAGTCTTCCATATGATGTTCATTTCTATGCTAGGCTTACTGAGTAAGTTATTAGTGCCTAGAATGTTAGCAGATTCTTTAAGTAATCTTAGCTTCTTTTGTTTTTGTTTATTACTCCAACTTCATTTCACAGGTGTTATAACCTCACTTTTCTATCCACACATGATCAACAATGAGATTTCATTGTCTCACCCAGAATAAAACTTTCTTATGTTCTGCCATGGTTACTTTTTTTGATTTTAGTGGACATCTGGACACATCTTTATTTTTCTTGTCTCTACTGCATGGAAAAAAGTATATATAATGTCATGTTTACTTCGAGGGAAGGTTTACTTTGAGAGAGATGTCTCTGAAGGGTGGAACTACTACTGAATATTGTCCTAGTTTTTCAACATGCTTCTAATGTAAGGGAGAAAAACCACACCATTTTTCTGACCACTTATACTGCTGCTTGTGGAGGAGAATGTAAATGCTTGCAGAACGTTTGTTTAATCTAAAGTTTGTTTCTACTGCTGATCATTTCCTGTTGATATGTGTTTCACTCATCATAAGAGTTTTACTTGATGTTGCAGGCAACAGATGATCATTTCTTCATGCTCTATGAATTTAAAAATTTTCATATATTCCCTGAAGAAAGCCAGTAAGCATAAGGAGTCAAAATGTTATAATACTAACAACAAAGATAAGACTATTAGCCTCACAGTAAATAATGTAAATAATAATAACTTTTCAATCCCATAATATGTATCAATAAATAAAAAAAACATATATGAATTTAATCACATTTCTGTCGAAAATATAGATGGTAAAATTTGGAAGTTTACCTGAATTTGTGGGTAGAAAGAGCAGTAAATTTCCCTCTTAGTGCAAGTAATTTTAACTCATCAGAACTTTTAGAAATCAACCATTTAGAATCTAATTTGAAGTACTCAGCCTGAAAATAATAATAATGACAAATATAATATATTCCTCTTGATGTTTATCAAACAACAACTCCATTGTGTTAATCTCTATGTCTACTCTACCACAAGCCATTCACGTCATTCTAATCATCAACCATTCTATAAGCACCATTGGATTATTATAATAACCCAATCAAATATTCCATACTATTCTCAGAGCATTTATAAGTATCAATAATAAAATAAGAATAGCAAGTCAATTTAATTCTCTTTCATATATAAAAAGCAACAGCAAAACACATCTTCCTTCATTGGTCACCATAATTAACATTATCTTTATTGGCAGTACAAACTGAATTTTGGAAGATTTGCTTAAAATGTTTTGCCACTCAATCTGAATTTGGTTTATTTGAAAACCAGGAAGAAAGAAATTCTCATTGGTTAGGAATTAAAGTAAGCATTATTAACTGAATAGAATATATGCTCAATTTATTTTACTATTTTTTGAACAATCAGATTTTTTGATTTTTAATAAATCTCTAATAAAATATCACAATGCCAATTTACAGGGTACACCATCTATTGTATACCCGATCCTGAAATATTACTAACATAGCATGAAGACAATTGAATTAATGTCATATATCTTTCCACTGCTATATTAGCAAACTCTCCCGCAAGAAAGGCTTGTTAACCATCACTTTACAGTAACTAACCATCATCTTTACAGTTGGTTAAAGAGACTTAATGATATCCTCAATTTTGCATCTCATTGTAAAGGAAAGAAACAAACAAGTTCACTGGTTGGTTTTTAATGTCTATGCTTTAAACATAGAAAAAGTACTGAAAATCTTTGTTTAAATTATTCCAACAAACAAATCAATACAGATGATGGTGATTGACATTGCATTTAAATTTTTGAAGATTGTTGGTGGTAGAGAAGCAAGAAACTGGAAGAGTATTCCACAGGCAAGAAGTGTGAGAGAAGAAACTATTAGAATAAAACTTACAATTATTTTAAGCAACTTCAACAATAAAATGATGAGACAAAGCTGTCAATCTTGTACTACATTTAAATTTATGAAGTTGAAGTACCAAAAAGAAAAGCTCATCAGAACAATTGCCATGAAAATATTTGAAGAAATGGTACAGAGAAGCTACATTATGGTGGTGAGAAATTAATTGAAGCCAAGATGCCAGGTTATAATTGTAGCTGCTGAATAATCAGTGATCATTACAAAGAATGTAATCTTCAAATGGCAGCAGAATATTTCCAATTCATGTTTTGCTGGAAACAATGATATTTATTAGTAAGGTATTTAGAAAAGTTCATGTTTATCAAAGAAAACCATTGTATGATAGAGATACCTGCAATTTTCAAAATTGCCACAAATCAAAATAAATCTTGCTTTTTTTTTATTTCATTTATGACACTGCCTTTTAGGAAAACTCATTTTATTTTAAATTTGTTAATGAACAATCTTACTTACAATTTTTAAACCCCATTGGTATTTGCTCATAACTTCGGGACCAACAATGTGGTAGATTCCAGAACAATCTTTCTTTATAAGTAACATCACTGCCTCACAAAGATCTTTGTTATATGTTGGACAAGAAAGCTAGAAAGAAAAATCAAGTAAAAATTAGTTCACTTTTATTTCATATTTAATAAAAATAATAATGATGATGATAAAATGATGATATAATGTTAATGATGATATTGATAATAATTAATAATGATGATTATAATGAATAATAATATGATGATATTGATAATAATGACAATAATGATGATTATAATGTTAATAATAATATGATGATATTGATAATAATAATAATAATGATAATAATGTTAATAATAATATTTATATTGAAATAATGACAATAATGATGATTATAATGTTAATAATAATATGATGATATTGATAATAATGACAATAATGATGATTATAATGTTAATAATAATATGATGATATTGATAATAATAATAATAAATATAACTGTCAAAATATTTATGAACATGAAAAATGAAAAAGATATTTTGGAGGTAGGCTGAAAAGTTCTAGGCTCAATTTCCTTCCCAAAAGTCAGTAATTTAATGAAGGAATATCAGAAGAGTAATTTTAGGAAAGGGTTCAGGCCAAGAACATTTCAGCACTGTTTCATATTTTCATTCCATTTTCAAAAATAAAATAAAATAAAATAATCAAGATTACATGTTTTATATCAAATCATCTGACTTCTTTCATTTGCAGTCCACGGTTGAAAAACAAGTGCTACAAAATTTTGAATTTAATTATTTTACAATGGTTTTAGCTATTTTAAAAATCAGCTAGACTAATTTAAGCTACTGAAGGAGTAGAAAGTTAATTTATAATTTAGTAGTGAGTTTTCAAAATAGAGAAAAATTCTCTGTTTATAACCCAATCTGGCAATCCTGCTCCCATGTTTAAATGTTTGGTGGCTGACAAGAGAAACTACTAATGCTAAAATGTTTACTGATCATTTTATATTTGTATTCACTAACCAAATCAATATCAGCACATGGTGACATGTCTTTAGTTGGTCACATGATCTTCATTTAAACATGTCACAAAGTATGAGAGAAGTCTCCTTTTCCCATACTAGGTTGATGAATATGTTACATTAGCAATGATGTTTAAAAATATGAAGTACATTGATAATACGAGAGAAGATACAAAAAAAAAAAAAAGAACTTACTTCATCAGATAGGAGAGTCATCTCCTTACCGGTTAATAGATTCTGTACAACTTGATTGGCAAAGTTTTTCTTCACTTCTTCAGGCCCAAATATTCTCTTAAAAAAAAAAAAATTAATTTCACTTTTTTTAAAAACTGTTTTTAAGAGAAAGGTCTATACAATATAAATCACATAATATAAAAAGTGAATGCAATTAACACATTTACTTTTATTTAAAGCGGTCACCATTAAAACTTTTTCTTTTGTTATCACTCTTCATAATCAATATACATAACATAGCATATATTTGTGGATGTAACACCTTTCAGCATCAGCAGGACAGTATTACATAGAGATGGGCCTCTATATTTCTAAGTAGTAGAACCTTCTAGTGGCATTCTAGAAATAGAATTTTATATTGTGCTAAACTTGATAAAAATCATTATCATCATCATAGCTATGTTTTTTTTTGAGGTAGGGATGTGATTAATCTCACACGAAGCAATGTGGGTCCTGCCTGATAAAGGATTTCAGTTTACCTCTCCACAAGAAACTTGGATAACTTAACAACAATCATGAGCAGCATATTTTAATGGATTTTTTTAATCTGATATTTATTATTACTATAAATATTAAATTTAATGGGTAAATTTTGAAAGTAATGCCAACCAACGTATATAGAGAGACGCCCTTTTAAAAAAATGTGCCATCTGACTGGAATTGAATTTCTTGGTGGGTACATTTTCTTTAATAGAATTTTCCAATCTCTAAGCTGGTCAATTGACATTAATTTTGCTGTTTACATAAAACAGAAATGTCTACTGAAACACATGTAACAACTACCTATATAGCAATCAGAACATATTTTGTAGATGTTTTTTCCCATTTAACTTTGACTACAGACTAAATTTACAAATATTTAAACTTTAACAGTTCAGTTAAGTCTATTAAAATGTCATAGTGATAAGCTTTTATTGTAGATATATTTTCATATTTCAAATCAGGAACAAGAGATAACATTTTAATTTTAACTTGAAGAAAACATGTATTTATCACCTTTAAAATTCAATAAAAAATTAAATCCAGCATATAAATGTACACAAATTATAAGAACATAAAATTTAGACATTATAAAGTAAAAAGAAAACTTTTTTTATCATTTCACCCCAAGCAAGGCAATAAAGTCAAGACTCAAGGGGTTACTGAGTGTGAGAGAATATGAGAAAAAGGAAACATTATTAACCCTTTGCTTGTCCACGCCATTTTCATATGTATAATACAAACATTCATGGTTGTTTTCAAATTTATAACTATTGCAAGGCAAATCAACTTATTTGGCAAATATAGAATGTGCTCATATATATTGTTTCACATAATAAAAACCTGGGCATTACATGTGATGCACAGAAAGTACAAATCATAAGTTATGTACATTATGCTTTGTGTATTACATGTGATGTGAAGGTTATAATCATTTCAATAAAGTGGAAAAATAGATATCTTTCATTTGAGACCTTACATTATCATGTGATGCACAGAAAGTACAAATCATAAGTTATGTACATTATGCTTTGTGTATTACATGTGATGTGAAGGTTATAATCATTTCAATAAAGTGGAAAAATAGATATCTTTCATTTGAGACCTTACATTATCAGTCAAGTATCCTGTGGTCATATATGATATGCAAAATATTAGATTAGGCCTTTCCTTAGACATCCTCCTCAATAGGAGACTCTTTTTTTAAGCATCCTTAGTTTTACCACTCTTTTAAAATCATGACTCGTGTGCACAGATGTGGAAATCACATGTCCTGTGCATCACATAAGATGCACAGGACAGCCAAAGATTTAACAGGAATAAAGAAGATAGAAGATAATGATTGACATTGCATTTAAATTTTTGAAGATCAAAGTTGACTGGAATTAAATAAGAAAAATATATGTGTGATTAGTTAGGTCTCCAAGGAGTGAGAAAAAGTGAAAATAGAAAAGGACATGTAGGTATAGAGTTGTAATGGAAGACATACAGAGATATATCATTTACATACCGAAGTCCGAATGATGAGAGATGTAGGAACCTCACAGAGAAGCGCTTTCTCAGACTTAAGTTTGCTTAATCCATAGTAGTTTGGAGGATTTGTAGGTGAATCTTCTCTAAGTCCAATGTCCTTTTCTGCAATTCAATGAATAAATAAAAATAACTTTATAATGATAAATCTGAGATCACAGGGAAATTTTCTTTCAGAATAAATATATATATATATATATATATAAGTGAACATTGAAGTCAACATTCTAGCATGAAACAGCCTGTCGCCTCTAAGTTTTGACTTCAATGTTCTCTTTTATATTTACACACACTCTATCTCTGATATTGGGCACTTTATCCTATAAATATAGCACACCTTAAGAGTATATTTCTTCATATATATATATATATATATATATATATATATATATATATTAATTAGTACATATATGCATACCTACGTTTTGGCATATGTACTAATTAATACATATCTTTGCTCTGCATGACCTCATTGAGCATTATTACGTTTACACCTCACGCATAAATTTAATGATTATTTATTTGTTGCCTGCTTAGGCACACCAACACATGCATACACACCTGCTTACATTTGGCTGTTTCATTTATCTACTCTAACAATATATATATATATATATATATATATATATATATATATATATATATATATATATATATATATATAACACAGATAATATGAATAAACACTAGAGCTTAAAGTTAGCTAAAAGCTTAAAATATAAAATAAACTGAGGATACAATACCAAAGTCAACAGAACCTAAATATAATATAATGATATTATCGATACCAAAATCCACTACTCAGAGTTTCATATAAACATCATCATATACATAGCAAGCAAATACACATTTACTAGCCCAAGCCAAACATTTCATCTGAAATAGCCAATGTAAGAATTTAAGATATTATCCTTAACCAGATGGCAATGTGATCAAGAATAGATTCTCTGCAAATTGGTAATTGGAAGATCATCTCAGATCGAGATTCTTTTTTTTTCTCCATCATTCACAAAACTTACAACATTGACCAAACCCAAACCATGACATAAAATAACAAGTAGAATTTGTCATAGAAATTATAAATCTCAACATTTGTGACTTGTTTTATATTAATCCAAGTTTTGTAAATATTGAAAGGCAGGTAAAAATGTTAAAAAATATTACAATTTGAAAAGCATGAAGCCTAATCCTAATTTTACAATATAACATATTTACTATACAAACCTCTCAACAACAGACTAAGGGATGGGTGGTCCATTAAAGACGATTAACTGTAGATAAAAAGGGATTATTTTTGAGTTATAAAACCACTATAGTAACTACCAATAGTTATGATTATAATGAAAATACTATAAAAATGTATATATGGCATAAATATATATATACTTAATAGATATATTAATAAAAATAATAGATTTCTCACAGATACTTTCTCATGCATGTGCTAATGTATCATACTTTATATACTGTACACCCGTCTTTGTTTACAATTGAAAGGCCAGTCACTGCTACCATACAATTTGTTCTGCTAAGCTTGCAAATTTTAAAATACATCACTGATGATTTGGAAGTTTTTTTCCTGCATAACTTTTTTTTTATCTTGCCTGCAGATTTTGTTTGTTGCATCCAAAGTCTGTTGATGGGGGGTGGGGGGTGAATCTGTAGATGATAGGTTTGTCTGTATAGTAAATTTTCACAATGAAATAAACAAATTACAAGTCCAAACTCAAAGATCCAGGGACAGAAAAGAAATGTTGAAATCACAAATCACAGGTCCAATGTCAAAAATTCAATGTACAATCAGACAGACGAGGTAGCCAAATAAAAACGACTCTCCTAATTCAAGAACACCAAGAAGCAGCTTTTATCGACAGAACAATTTTTTTTCATTGACCGAGAGAGAGAGAGAAAAAACAATTTTAGCTTTTAGCTGTGAAGCATTTATGGCCACAGCTGCAACTGACTTATTTCTATTTTGCTTATTTTGGACTCAGGACACCATTTGTTCAACAACTTGTCCATTCCCAGTTATGATTGTTTTTCTCTTTTTGAAATCATCTACAGAATTGACAAAGTAAGTGACACATTTTTCACTATCTGTCTATATTTCTGAGATGAGGTATTATGTACACTATTTACATTGTTCGGACTATTGTCCTCATCTTTGTCACCATATTTATTACAACTTTCAGCTATTGTATGCTCCGGCCTTCTTCAGGTGGTTGGAATGTTGAACTGAACCCTTTATTTTGCTTACTGGGGTAGACTGTTTCTAGTTCCATGTGCCATGTAGAGAGGTGTGTCTGGCATCTGTGTCATAAGGGGCCGAGGACGTCACACTTCGCAAGTCACTAACACACCTTGAGGTTGGCTTTCCTATGCTGCGCATTGACAGGACTCAATCTTGGTGGGGAGTGTTGGGATTCCTTCCCATCACTCCTGCTGATTCTAGGGCTGAGTGCCATCGTAAGCCCTTAAATCAGTCGAGATTCCTCAGAAAGTGTTGAGTGGCCTTGAAAGCTAATCCTTGGTCCAGTGACCTTTCAGCCTTGTGTCAGGAATTAGTGGAGGGGATCGTGAAAGATCCTCTCTGTGGGTGGCTCAGTTTGTCAGTGAACGAGTTGCACTCTTTCTGGTCTTGGGAGCCAGCAGCAAATTACACTAGCAATTAGACATGGCACGTGGAACTAGAACAGTCTGCCCCAGTGAGTGAAATAAAGGGTTAAGTTTGACATTCGAACCACCTGAAGAAGGCCAGAGTGTACAACGGCTGAAACATTGTAATAAATATGGCGACAAAGATGAGGACAATAGTCCGAATAATATACATAATGCCTCATCTCAGAAATATAGACATGTTATTTTTAGTCAATGAGGTTTTTGTAGGTTCCCTGTGAAGATGCAGTATTGTGGTATATGTAGAATTAGATGGTGATGGATAAGTTTTTGAGGTATATGAGCAAATTTTAATGAATGAATGAATGGGTCGTGAATCTGATTAGTTAGGTCTAGGATAGAAAGTGTTGACCAAACCTACCCCACTTCCCTTTTGGCCTTGTGCCACAAGTGTTGTATAAAGGGTAACAATAAATATATACTTCTGTGTTGAACAGGCTACACTTGTTGCAGACAGTAGAGTGTTTGAGAGGAATAGATTGCGGGAATTGTTTACAAGAAATGAAAAGTTTACAACTTTTTTTCTACAATTACCTACCTCCTACTGACAACCTTAAATGTCCATGCAGTCCTGTGTTGACACTAAAATATACTTACATCCTTCACTCACATTTTAAGCAAGATGACTGACACATTTGAATACATACATACATACATACATACATACATACATACATACATATACACATGTATATACATTCTCCTGGTGTGTCTCTCTCTCTTGTATGCAGCAGGATAATTACATTTAAACTCTTGACCCTCCAACTTATCACTCTATACTTTTGTATATATATTTTTTCTGTTATATACAAATTTATTTTGTATATATTAACAATCTGTGCATTCATTCAATCTTTACACAAGGCCAATATAGATCTCTGGTAGGAAAAGATGTTCTCATAAAATAACTTCCACATCACTCACCATATGTTCCTTTATTAGCATCAACAGCTATCAGACATATTTTTCTCATGATAATAATGCAAGAGCATCATTTCCCATACACAAAAACTGTGCCCGATGTAAAAACTGAAAACGTACTAACAATCAGTGGCAGAGCACATTTCATTATGAAAATTAAATGACGGCATTTTAGTTGTGGGTGTGTCCCTTTGTTTTATGGCAACCAATATTTTTAGGGCCAGTCGACCACTGGCCCTAATTCATCAGTGGTGGACTGGCTCTAAAAATATTGAAAGACTAACAAAACTTGACATTATCCTCAATGTCAAAGCATATTCCCAACATTAAAATATCATCATATGACAGAAAACACTTGAGAAATGATAATGAGGCTGTATTCATATCAGGCAAAAATCTCCGCAAATAGTTACTTTATTCCTCATTCTTTCTTAAAACTTTTCAAGATTCTTAGAACATAAATATTCTGAGGTTTCTATAACTGCTGAGATACAGCGCTGTTTGATAAAAGTGACTCACCTTATACTTTGAATTTAGCTCAACTTTCATTTGATCGGAGAAGAGAACATTCTTCCAGTCTTCTATGGTGAATTTTTTGTAAAAGTGAGCCCATTCAAGTCTCTTGGCTTTGTTGGTTTTGCTTATTAGCGGCTTAAACCTTCGTGTACAAGATTTGTAGCCTTGTTCTAACAGCCCCTGACGATCTGTTGAAGCAGCAAGACTAACACCTTGCTCTTCACTTAGACTGGCTGCAGTTTCTTGGCTAGTTATAGTCCTATTCTTCGCAACTTCTCTCTTGATTACCCTGCTAGTTCTATCATCAATCTTTTTCTTTTGTCCCCTTGTTTCCTTCCTTGGAGCAGGAGTGGCATCATTATGTGCCCTAAGCACTCGAGAGACTGTTGATTGCGAGGTTATAGCAATCTCTGCAACTTCTCTCGTAGACTTCCCTGCTTTTGAGAGGGCAATAATAGATGCCTTAAGTGGTTCTGATGCGTATTTGTACCCTTTCATCTGGTTAGTGACTTGAGTGGCTATTTCAAGCTGTTTTTATACTGTATGAGGCTTTCTGGAATATTCTAGAAAACTCTAGATTTAATTTAAGCTGTTCTAGAATTCTCTAGAATATTGTTCTGAGTGTATTGTAAAATGGTTTTCAATATTTTGTCAAAAGCTCTTTAAATTTACCAGTTTAATCATTAGAATGCGATATCTGAGTCACTTTTTTTGCACAGAGTTTTTCCTGATTCTCATTTATATCCAAATTTATAATTATCAATAGAATATCTTAAGGTGAATAAACTTTTTTCCTAGGTGATTGGGAAGGGGTCTTTATATTAGTAAAATTAAAAATTATTTTAACCCCAAAAACAATAGACAAAAAATATTTTTAGTAAAAAAATCAGGTGAGTCACTTTTATCGAATAGCACTGTATACATGCCATGTAGATCTCTTAAATGTCTACAGAGGACATATGTGTCACAGAAGTAAATTAGATCTACAATCTGTAGAAGGTGATCCCATCTGAAAATGAAACCCACAAAAATGAGTTTGTATAGGATGATTTTACAGGAAAGACGTCTCAGCAAAGTGATCTGCTAATTCCAGTTTTATTTTAACCCTAAAGGTATAAAGCAAGATAAACTCAATTTTATTTTATTTCAGGATCTTGGACAGTTTTGTTCCAGAAGACATTTTGAATGGAATCATATTGTTACAGTATGAAGGTAACAAATTCCAGTCAAATCCATTACATTCACTTATGTGCTAATACCCTTGGGAAAGGTATGAATCCTCTTCTTCTCCCCCCAGGGTAAATAGTAGGACAGACCGGGCTCTTATAGCCTTGGATGGCAACTGGTCTACCACAGAAAGAAATGGCAACCTACTGCAGGAAAAAATCTGCCTCATCTGTCATGTATTGAAAAATACATGATGCCCTAAGCATGTATCACACATGGCACATAACTGATTGTCCCAATAGAATTTCCAAGTTTTAGTCCTGAAAAAGTTAAAATCTAACTTTCAAGTTGCTTGAAATGTCAGTTATATAATGAAACTGATGTGTTAACCAACTTGAAAGATTATATGAGACACCTTAGAACAATTTCACAGACCATAGTGAGTTTGGTCTTTACTAAGTGTTCTACTATTACAGCCTAGTACCAGGCTAAACTAGGCTTATCAAATACATATAAAGATACCAGAAATCTAGTTTTGTAAGCCACTATCAATGATCAATCTTTGTAGATGTTCTACTACTATGGATTTGTATCAGATGCAGTTAAGATGAGTAGATATCTTCAAGGGTATTTTTTTAAATAAAGAATAAATAGTAAACTAATGAAAATAATTCAAATATACTTACCAATTGTGTTTATGCAATTTGGAAAATTTTCTGGATTTGGAGAATTGAATACCAAATCAGTAGAGAAAACTATAATTTTTATATTTCGTTCTTTTCCAAGTTTCGCAATTTGTACTACTGCTTCACAATTGATTTTATTTGTCTGTGGAGACAAAAAATAGTGACATGAACAGATTTTGCTTAAATAATTTCAAATTGGGAAAGAATAATAACCTAATTCTCTTATTTTGAAAAATAAAGTACTATCATATAGCCATATCAGATTTGAAAAAAGTTTGGAGCATTTTTTAAGTGAATTTCAATGACAATATTTAGCTTAGTGTTTTCAAATGCCTTACAATGTTTGTGTGATGTATGTGGAGTATTTCTACAATATCCTGTGCCATGTGACCTGGATTCATTTTGATTTTTTTATCATCAACAACTATTGAACATTTTCAGTTTTCCAGACCAAAATATTAACGTCTGAATCTGGCAAACCATTTACAAGCAATACTCTCATCAATTGTGAAAAAAAGAAAAAACAAAACTGTTAATGCATATTTTTTGTGTGTTTGATTAAAAGAGGTTGGAGAGAATAAAGATCAAGTGACAACAAGGCATCCCATAAAAAAATTGATGAGAGATACTCAGTGAGATATAAAACCAAAACAATTTTATTAAATATTAGGAATGCACAAATTTGGTGATTTGTGCATCCAGAAAAGGGGATAATAAATTTCTGGATAAGTCACTTATTTTTTTCTAAAATAAGGCCCAATGGTAGTTGTAGCAAAGAGATCAAGTTTACAATCAAAATCAATCAATATGAAATATAACAAGAAAAATGCCGTCAGATACAAAACAATGCAAATTACAAGAAGGTACAATAAAAGGGTATCAGTGAGGTCGAACCCAATTAAAATGGTATATTTACCTTGAAGGTATAAAATATGAATGTTAATAGTTTCTGTAATTTGATGTAAGTTGTCGAGGTTCATGACAGAATCCATTCGTGCCTTCAGAGTCTTCAACGTAGAATGTTGTTTTGAGAGCAATACTTTTTTTCTATTGTGGAAGCAACTGTTTTGTTACAGTTGTTAGGGTGAAAATAAGACTTAATTCTGTCATGAAAATGACAATTTGATTGTCAAGACCATTGATGAGTAGGTTTTGTGTACAGTTTGAGATTCTTGAATGACGAAGAAGTTTGTAGAAGATATTGAACAGGAAAGATTTGCCGTCTCACTTTGCCGAGACGGTAGAAGTAGTCGTCACATTTTTAAGCTTGAGTGAGTGGTCGAAAAAATGGTCTGCTGCTGATCTGCCCAGGTCTGCAACTGCCGTGTCACACGTGCTTTGGGTTCTTTTTAAGAGGTCATGATCACGTGGGTGGATCCAAAACAATTTTGCACCAAAACTTCGAAGTTCACGTGCGGGCAACCTAATTGGTAGAAATGAACCAATCAGAGGGCTAGATTTATGAATGAAAGTTGGAATAGTGCATTACTCAAAGAAGGTAAGATTGGGCTAATAGACGAGCCCAATAATGGAATCCATTCGTGCCTTCAGAGTCTTCAATGTAGAATGTTGTTTTGAGAACAATACTTGTTCTCTGTTGTGAAAACGACTATTTTGTTACAGTCATTAGGGTGAAAATAAGACTTAATTCTGTCATGAAAACAACAATTTGATTGTCAAGACCATTGATGAGTAGGTTTTGTGGCTGCTTCTTTGAGTCTACGCTTGGTCAGGTTTTCAGATGTTTTGGAAGGTGTTGCATCTCTCACTCCCCTTGAAGGTTGTATTGCAGGGGGTTTTATAGCCAAAAGGTTGGCTCTGATTTACCTGAAAAACTTTGATGGTCAACTCAAGAAGTTCAGATTTCAGCCGGCTCAAATAGCCATTGGTTAAAAAATCATGTTTATCAAAGCAATTTATTGTAGTACAAAAAAACACTTGTTTTTCTTTCCCTTTCTTTCATCTTCAATTGACCCCCTTCCATTTCTTGGTCAAGGAGTTTTGCATACAGGATGGCAAGGTACAGGTAATTATTTTATTACCATCATCCTTTCCCCACAATTTCTTTCCCTTCCTCTCATCTTCAATTTCTATAAAAAAAAAATAAATAAACGGTCCATCGTAGAAACTCTAGTTTTTGTTACTTCTACATTAATTGTTTATATGTGAACATACACACACCTGAAATACACCAACACACAACCTTTAAATTCCATAAGTGGTGACCCCGATGTTTCTTGAGTTTAGATTTCCCTTATAGTTAATATTATTTGCTTTTTAAAGTTATTCTATTTCATAAATCCTAAACTATCCAAACAGAAAAACATAGCTCATACTTTCTGTGTCTGTTTCTAAAATGAAAGACAACTTCCACAGAAATTATAAGCATCAAAATAAAATGCCTGTATGTTTCTTGATCTATCAATGTTTATTCTATCAGCTAAAACCTATAAAATTGAAACTGAAATAGTAACGTTTCCATTGTAGTAATTATCTCCCTTTAGTTGAGATGAAGTCATGAGGGTCACATGATAGCCGGTGAGTGACTTTAGTTCATAGAGTGATGAAAGTCAGTTTTTAATTAGCACTCCTGAAGTCAAGACATGCCTGCCTACATCAGTTGCCACATAGGTGGCAAAGAAGACAGACATGAAAATCCCACTGTAGTAAGGTGAACAGAGAAACACACATGGTCCCAAAGGAAACAAAGGACACTACTGGTCTGGCCTTTTTACCCCATTGGGAAATATTACTAGTAATACCCTCTCTTTTTCACCCCTTTCATGATGCTTGTTAGATGCGTATGTTATAATTTTTCTGTATGGGACAAATTAGTGGCCTGTCCCTGGGTATGATGATAAACTGCATCCACGTCCTGGGTAAGACGATAAACTATGTCCAACAGCCAGGCCTTTGATCAGGTTTTCAGGAGTATGGAACCATCTCTTAATTGCTGGTGTTCCTAGGTTCACTCTGACCTGGAGTTATAGCACCTGTTAGGGTCCCAGCTATGGGCAAATAGTTGACCCCCCCAAACTCAAGTCAAAACACTATAAAAGTGTGAAAATTGGTTTTAATACCAGAAATACTTTGTGAAAATTATTACCAGCAATAAATTTTGAAAGAAAAAATATTACCAGCAATACATTTTTGAAAGAAAAAATATTACCAGCAATAAAAATCTTGTCGGCATTAAATAATCCATTGAGGTTGATATGCCATAAAACAAAACAAACCAAACCAAACCAAACCAAACCAAGCCAAATTAGTGGTAAGTATATATATATATATATATATATATATATATATATCAGTATAAAAAATCATGTTTGTCATTCCTTTCTTTCAGCTATTCTGTTCCATCCATTTATCAAAATGCTACTATATCAAGGATTTAATATCATGGATATAATAATGCTTGTAATGGGGAAAGGCAAATTGTGAATAGTATTTCTTGCATAGCATCTTCATTACCATGAAAATTACCACCATTTGAAAATGCTTAAAATATAAGCTGAAAATGATCAGGACAAACAATTTGGACAATGTCTCTAAAAACTCAGTCCTCAAAAAAGAAAAATTCTAAGGACAAAAGAAAAACTGGATAAAGGTAGCTTATAAAATATTCCTTTAAAGAAACATAGATAAAAGTTGCCCAAATATATATTTTAATTAGTATTGTTGTATGCTTATGTTATAATTTTTCTGTATGGGACAAATTATATACCGATATAAAAAATCTCTTTCAGAACAATTCATGTTTGTTATTCCTTTCTTTCAGCTATTCTGTTTTGTCCATTTATCACAGATATAATAATGCCTTTAATGGCGAAATGCAAATTGGGAATATTCTTTCTTGCATCACATCCTCATTACCATATATTCCAAAAAACAAGTAATACCCTCTCTTTTTCACCCCTTTCACACGGCTTGCTGTATGCATATATTATAATTTTTTTCTGTATGGGACAAATTAGTGCTAAGTATGTATATATCAGTATAAAAAATCTCTTTGAGGACAATTTATGTTTGTCATTCTTTTCTTTCAGCTATTCTGTTCCATCCATTTATCAAAATGCTACTATATCATGGATATAATATCATGGATATAACAATGCCTATAATGGCAAAATGCAAACTGAATATTCTTTCTTGTATAGCATCCCCATTACCACATATTCCAAAAGAGCAATTCAGTTTCAAGAAGTCTCAGATTTGGCTTCTGTTTTACAGGGCAGTTAGAAATCATTAGATGAAATTTTTTTTTTGTTTTTTCTTTTAACTGAAGAAGAAAACTCCAGGGTTTAATCTCTAATTCCCTCCAACCAACATTTCAAAACAGGCATAGACTCAACACTAAAGTGAAAGTCTGAGTTGTAATATTTCTACAACCTGTCACTAAATGAAATTCACTAGTTGTCTGTCATATTGAAATTTTTGTATGACATTCAAAAATGTAATTAAAAGCAAATATTTTCAAGTATAATTTTTCCCCAATGATATAGTAGTTTTTTTTTCCATGTATTTCAAAAGAAACAAATTCAGTTTCTGTTAACAACCAAAACATAACAAGTAAACAAGAGACTTAACTTTGAGCACATTTTATAGAAAAAAAGCATCGTTAGCAGTAAAATAATGCTTTTTGTAATTAATTTCAATACTGGTTATTATAATTAATTATTTATTAAATTTATTAACATTATTTCCTTTCCAGAGTTGTAAAAGACTTACATTATTAAATAATCTTATACTAAAAATTTATATAAAAAAATTATACTGAACAAAGTTACACTATGAAATCCCCTTAAAGAAATAGTATCCTAAATGTACTTACCTTCTCTGTTTGTGATTCACAAAGATTGACATTTGTAAAGGCAGCAGCAATAATGATTACATGAGGGGAACAAGCATCAAGTAGCAATTTCATTTTCAATGGGTCCCTAGAATGAAGGATAAATAAAAGGCTAAATTTTAAATGCAACTATTAAAAAAAGAGAATAGCAAACAGTCAGAAAATAAAAAATTCTAGTTGTAGACACATCACTTTCACACCATTGAAGAAAGCATGAATCCATCCTTCCCAGCACCAGACATCCTGGTGTGTTTTTTCTTAGACCAGATTTCATGGCATCAAAAAAAGCATACCCCCCACCCCACTTGTGCTTATTCTGATTTATTTCAAACTAAATAACCCAAGCATAATAAGATTTTGATAATTTTTATGGCAATAATAATATAATTAGATTTCTGTAAGGGATGTTTTTAAAGCTATTGCTTTATTTTTAGGGCTGTAATTCATTTCCTCTTGGAAGATATCAGAAAGCTGTAGAAAATAGCAATGAGGAGGTTCAGATACAAAAATCATGTTGGAATTCCAAAGGTCATAAATCAATCTCATAATTCCAATGTCAGAAAATGTCATGGGCATAAATCAAAAGGGATCAAAAATCCACATCTACAACTTGCAACACACTACCTTCTTCACCCACAAAGAGCCAAGAGTCTCTTCTGTTGCCTAATGTAGCCTTCTTTTTATTGGAATGAGAAAGGTTCTAATTGCTTGAGACTGGTAAGGAAGCACAAACAATTACTGATGTAATGGAATAACAAGTCACCCCCATGAATGATTATACTATAGGTAGTAAATACCTATAAAATCAACTGTCTACGAGAGATTTGAGAAAGACTGAGAGCGAGATGCAAGCATGTCCGACCTTCCAATTAGTCGCACTCACTACTAGATTGACCTGTTTGTATAACTGTAGCGTATTTCATATTGCACTTGTGTACAATAAACCTTTCTTCTATTATCCACCTGGTGTTAAGTATTTATTCCATAAGCACGGAATATAACAATTACCAAATTTCAAGACTTTCTAAAGTCGACCCAAACTTGATTCTGATTTTCTTTTTTTCAACAGATAACACAGAAAACATGAATTCTTCTTTGAGATAAAACTTGATTTTCTCCTTCTTCACCACAAAAGCATAACTCCCTTTTGTTTATTCTGATTTGTTTCAAACTGAATAACCCAAGCATTTATAAGGTCTTGATAATTTTTATGGTAATAATAATAAGATTTATGTAGGGATGTTTTTTAAACATATTTCTTTACTATTTAAGGGTGTAATTTATCTCCTCTTGGAAGCTATCAATTTAAAAATATAGTGAAGTCGACTCATGACTGAATAAGGCCACCTTTTTAAGACTCATAACTCCCAAGTGAACATTTTAAGATGATGTCTTAAATGGCTCATAAACCCTTCAAATTATCTGCATGCCATTTCACATTGCATACAGGCAAATCTTCAGACAGCAATCTGATTATCTGGATGTTTACTTTCCTGATGCTAAGTGAGTCCACTGACTGACCTACACACTTTGTTACAAATGCTGCAAGAAAGTCTTGCTGAGTATCATATTGGTAAGATGGGGACGTGTCCATGTTTGTGGCTGAGCAGGCGTGTCCACAAGGAGCATGTCATTCATTAAATATGACAGGCAATTTTTTATTTGGTTTTTCCAGTGTTCTTACATTTTTCCATTTGGTGGAAAAACTAAATAAAAAATTTAATTAAACTTTCCTTGTCTGTCATATTTAATGAAAGATGTTTAAAAGAAAAGTTGCTACCCAAATATACATTTATATACATGAATAAAGATAAAAGGAAAACTTATCTTAGCTGATGTGTTTCATCCTCTGATAGACTTTATCAAGGCAAATGTAAACAGTTTTATTTTGCAACAAGTATTTATAAACAAAAGGAAACATGTTCATTTTTTTAAAAATATAACAAAACATACAAACATATATATATATATATATATATATATATATATATATATATATATATATAAATAAAGGTCACTTGCCTCTTGAATTTATATTTAACACAAAATACCACAAAATATGAAACAATAAGAAGGAACACAAAATGGTTTTTATAACAAAAACAATCTTCATTATATATTTATGTATATAATGATATACAAGCATAATCAATAGGGGTTACTTCCCTTTGACTGTAATTAAAGTCTTGACTCAAAAAATATTTTTATCTGAGCTAATAGGAAGTTGAATGAATTTGCCACTCAAAATGTTCACTGAAAAAGTTGAAAGAATTCTGTAAAGCTGAAAATATGTTGATAAACTTTTAGCTTCAAAAGAGATGAAGGAGTGAATGTTCTGTAATGTTTGTAGTTGAGTTTCTGTTACTTGTAGTTGAATATTCGTAATATGTTGATGCTTGTAATGTTCTGTAATGTTTGTAATTAAGCTTCATACGTACGTGTATGTGTGTGTGTGTGTGTGTGAATATGTTTTCATAGTGTCCGCCCACAAAGGGTCAAGATGCAATTTTTTAAACAGCTACATTTTAGTAAAAAAGAGAAATTAAAAAGAAGGAAAAACAAACTTGTGTCTGGTATTTATAATCAACGTAGTCACGTGATCAGCTCCAGGAAGCATTTCTGCTTTTCATCGGAAAAATGGTTTTGAATAACATGTAGGCATTGTACAGACATAGGCAAGACAATGATTTATATATTAACTGACCAATGAGAGGTGAGAAAAATATCAAAGCTCTGTGATCCACTTTTTGCACAGATTTGCTCAAAATTTGACATTGATAAAAAAGCAGTAGCAGGATGCTATAATATATACACACACACCTTTGATTTTCATATATGAGCAACTGATAGGATGTTGAAATTAAGGAAAATTTAAAAAGAGAAGTAGACTATTTTGGTAGAAAAGTATAATCATTGAGGACCAATACAAAATGAAGTTTTTCTTAATAGCTTACTTATAAAATCTCCCACTAACCCTGGTACTATGGCTGGCACAATTTTATAATTATTCCCTTCACCCCAATCCTATGGATTCTGTTTCTGTAGACATACTGAGATTTGCTTAAAGTAGATGTGGTACCAATAACAAAATATGAATAGCTTTCTGTATCTATTTTGTACAATAAACAAATATTAGATTTGTAGCTTTGTATCAGACAGAGCAAAGATTAGTAAATGTCACCCACTCACATCATACACAGGAGAAAAGAAAACAGCACTTACATTGCATCTGATTCCAAATCAAATGAAAGTCGTTGAGGCTTTTTCAAATTATGTGTGGTTCCAATAACAATAAACTCTGGATAGTTTTTCTTAATAGTGTGAAAAAATGTGGAGCCAACTGAAGCAAAAAGAAATATCATATAAGTTATGAAATCTATTTAACAATGCATTTTGACTCAAATTCAGAGGTTAATGTCTTCACTCGAAGTCATCTATGTTCTACTAGCAACATGGCCTGGAATTGCCCATGCTTGATTCAAAAATCGTATGACTCATACAGCAATCGCTATCACTTGACTTAAAATATTTTTGCCCTTCCTTGCCTTTAAAGGAGTGCCCTTTGCAATGCTGATGTTGCTACATGCCTTACTTCTTACCTATCTCACACTGCGAATTTTTTTTAAGCTCTATACTAAACATTAAATCTGTTACGAAAAAAGAACTAAACAAAATGAACACAAAACGATCAGCTTTAAAAAAGGACTCGTAACTGGAAAAACCAAATGAAAAAAGAATGTTAACAACAAATACTTTTTCACACCCAACCCAGTTCTGCGGAATCAGAATCAACGTTGAGTTTAAGCAAGCTAATGAGCCAATTGGAGTAAAGTGCCATGCAGATTTAAATTTTTCCCACTTGTGATGAATGCAGCTATTGATTTTTTTTGCATGCTAGTTAACATTTGTGTCAGTCAGCTGTTGGCTCTCATGTTGGCCAATAGAATCTTCCTGCCTCTTCGTGGTAGCCAGCTATAGGCTCTCACTCTGGCCAGTAGAAAATGGCCACAAACTACATGAAAACTGCCGTAAAAGCATGAAAAAATCAATTATTTCCACTATCGATGGGAGTTGGGAAATGCAAAGTCTGTCTTGGCCTTCCCACTAACTTGGAGCATGTGTATGTAAATTTTGGTGCAAATCCATTGAAAATTGCAGCCATGCATTCGTTATACACACACACACATCCTATCTTTTATAGATAGAGATAGATCCTTAGGCACCAAAAGGTTTCTTAGACTAAAATCAAATTGTAATTTAAGAACTATGTTGAAAGAAAAAAAAAGAATTATAGACTAAAAAAAAAATATTGATAAATTTCTGTTTATTCAAAATTAAATATTATTTTTATTTTGAAACAATGAACAACCAGCCATAAAAATGACTTCCTTTTGCTATCTTGTTTTTTTTATATATCATCTTGTGAAAATATAGATTTTGTGGATCTGGCAATTTTCTTTTAATCTAGCAAGATCTTTGAATTATAAACACTGGAAAAAGAATCAGTGGAACTGTATGCTGGTAGTTTTAATTTTGGCTTGATGGTAGAGGTATTACTGCTGTTGTTTGTGAAAGAAATCCTCTGAAACAGCCACACTGTTTTAGTCTGTCATAGAGCTGTGCTGCAATGGAGCCAATTTAATAGTTTTGCTAATTTACTTTGAGTGGGGTGTTCCACTGAGCTTAAAAGGGAAAAATAAACTATATGAAACTGGCTGCTAAAAGCTGAAGCAACACAAAGTTGACACAAGATGTTCTAAACTCAAGTATTTTATTCAAACAGCTGCTTGATCTCTTTTATTCTCTAGTGGGACTGGAAGTATTTCCAAATCATCATTATCATTGATGTTATAGAATATGGGTTTTGTTTCATCTTTCACTATTTTTTTGTTATCATCCTATATTTCCTAAAGCAGTTGGAATGAGTTAAATAAAGCCTGGAATTTACTTTATCTCTGAATCAGCTGACAATTTATTCAACTCTTATTTTATATGGAGGTTCCTAAGTCTTGAATGATTTTTCTCTTGGCCTGCTTATATACCTTCTGATAATCAATAGCTATAAGACATAGGAGAGTGGTGCAACTTATGAAGCATTATTCAGCTTAAAATTATTTATTGATGATTTAAATGTGGCACAAGGACTAAAATTGAAAGAAAGAAAAAGTTTATCTTTATCAGTTCTACATTAAATTTAGCTACACCAAAATCACTAACACAATCAGCTGTTAATGTTACTTTTACCAAAATGACACATTCTTGCTTACCATTTGTACTACAGTTACCAAAATACCACAATGTCCTACATTTCCTAAAGCTGTATACTGCAGGTGGAATGATTAAAATAAAACCGGGAATTCTGTCTTATCTTTGAATCAGTTCAAAATTTATCCAACTTATTCTTATTTTAAATGGAGGTTCCTGAGAGCTGAGTGATTTTTCTATATTTTCTGCCAAACAATATCAGAAAGAAATACTCATCAAATTCATCACTTTCTTTTCAAGTGATCCTTCAAATGAATCTACAAAGCTTGAATTTTGTAGATCAATCAGATTTCCATTCAGATGCATGCACCACTTATGATATTTCAATTTCTTGAAAATTTACGTCAAGCCCCGACCACAGTCTAATCAACTCTTATAGCCATTAAAAAGGACATCAATAATGTATTTGGAGCCTTTATTATCAATATCAGATAGTTTCAAATTTGATTATCAAGGAAGATTTTGCAGCTTTTCATAATTTAAATAATTTTGGTATCTGTCTATATTTCTGAGATGAGCTATTATGTACATTATTTACATTATTTGGACTATTGTCCTCATCTTTGTCACAATATTTATTACAATGTTTCGGCTTTTGTATGCTCCAACCTTCTTCAGATGGTTGGAATATCAAACTGAAGCCTTTATTTCGCTCACTGGGGTAGACTGTTCTAGTTCCACATGCCATGTCTAATGGATGTCAGTTATCTCCTGTTAATTCCCCTCTCCAAGTTCTCCACTGCCTTAACCGGGTATTGAACTCACACTCTTCGGGTCCTATCACTGGATCTAACCAATGCCTTTATCCACTATGCCATGTGTTCTTTTGTATTTTATAGATGAGCAAACATCAATATAGCTTAGTACACACCACATATAAAATACACCACTGCAGGCACTTTGATATAGTATAATGGTTATCAGACTTGTCTTGTGTGATCAATTATGACTGAGTAGTGAGTTCAATCTTCACTGGGCACTCCCTTCTTTCAGCCTTGTACCACATCTAAGCTATGCTTAGTAAACCACTATAAGATACACCACTGATTTTCTTCAAGATGGTAATGTAGCAGGTTTCAGAGTTGGTTAGACATGTGTAATTGTCATCTCGCAATCCTGAATTCAATCCCTAGAGCAGGTAGTGAGATACTGATTCAGCAGAAACAAACAATAATTGGCCTCACATGGACAAAATAACATAATAATGAACAGATATCCTATGTCAGTCAAAAAATGGAGACCTGGTGATGGCCAGAGAGTATTTGGCTAAAATGATATGTTTATAATAAGATCTATAACAGCTGAGGACAATAGTTTGAAATAAGCAAAGTATATTAACAATCACTCATCTCAAAAATTAAATAAAATTACGTTTATTAATTAATTTCAAATTTACGTTTCTTTGGAATTGATAGTATACAGCTTTACAAAATTGACTGGCTAAGTTTCATTTGATGACAAAATGATTCTATGAAATTATATCAAAAGTTTTTATGTTTGAAAAGCAAATGATACTTTGGTTGATGCGAAAAATAAATTAAAAAGAATTACTTCAATGATGATAAAATAACAAAAAACGATTTTGTTTTTTACCTTGCCCAGTGGAACCAATAATCAGGATTCTTTTTCGGTGTGGAATAATTCTCTTATCCGGTAAATTCAGGTATTCCACCATCTTATCTTTGCTTGAAATGAGAACATTTTCTTCAGGATTTTTAATAGGCCATGCAATTGATAAGATTGGGTCAAATACTGATGCAGAATGCTGAGGAATGGATTTATCAAAAAAACCACCCTAAAAAAAATCCAAATCAATGGAACACCAATTAAACAATAGGCTAACACTGTCAAACATTTAATGATGAAATAGCAGAAACATTTAGCCTAAGAATTATCATGTCTCAGAATAACTGGCAAGTTTTGGAGATGGACTTAGATTCATGCAAATATACTGTTTGTTACGTGTTTATACAGCTTATGAATTTTAAAGGCAAGAGAAACAAAAGGAAACAGTGACTAGCCTAAGAAACAAACATGTGGAAATGTATCAGGGTGTGGGAAGAACAGTAAAAGAAAGCAAAATCTGTTAAGAGCGATAAAAGAATAGGAAGTTGTGGATATCCATGATTACCCATATTCTTATGAAGGGAGATGGCACATAAAAAACCTATTGTTTGGTAGTTAATCTTTTTCCTTCCTCTACCCAGAAGAATACTTTTGTTTCATATAAAATGGTATTTAATTGTACCATCAAAAAAATGCATACAGCAAAGAAAAATTCTTCAGTAGGCAAGGTTGCTTCTGTTCATCAGTTGAATTAATTCATCACTTAGGCTGTCACCTTTGACTTGCAATTAAAAGAAGAAGAAGAAGATGAAAATTATAAAGATGTAAGTATTGAAAGATTTACTGTCAGGGATGAACTTGTGGGTGTGAAGATGTCTCCAATTTTTCCAAGACATTCAGAACTAAAGACTTTAGGTCCTGTGAATATCTATAAAAATACCTTTAATGGTAATTATGTTAGATCATATGGATGTCATCTTAAGTAAATTCACATTTAATTATAAAAAGAAAAAGATTATTCAAGAACATAAGCATAGAAAATAGGAAAAACTAAAGATGATGTGAATTCATTTAAAGTAAATTATTATTTTGGTATGAATAAAAGTAAAGAAAAGATGGGGAATTTAGATTTTAGAAAGAATAAAAAGCCAGATAATATATTAAAAGAAGACTCATTAGAACTTTAAAAAGAGAACTGGTTTTAATTTGATCAAAAGAGAACAAGTTGAGTGAAAACAACAATTCTTCATTTTCTTCAAAAAGTTTCTTCAGTTTCCATCATTAGATGGCATGGGGAATGTTTAGTTTTAATTTCATTCAAAAAGAGTGTTCTTCACTACAATATGACAGCTGCCATATTTGGATTCATTTTAAAAAAATAGTCAACTGGTATGTTTTTGTTTAATGGTCCTAACATTGAAAATGGAGAAAAAAATAAAGCAACATTTCCAAGACGTGAATTTTTTATTCAAAGAAAGGTAAAAATGTGGTTTAATGTAAGAAAAAGATTTTTGTAGTCTCTGGATAAGATATTGTAAATAATCAAATATGCGAAACATATTAATTTGAAATTTCACAATATGCTATGATTCGATAAACATATTAGTGTTGAGAGAAATCAAATAAAGACATTACTTGAAAATATTCAATGTTATAGGATGTAAGGAATGGCCAACTTACAAAATATCTAAATTAAATGCTGGAAAGCATTTGCACAAACTTGGTTAGTTTAGTCACATTGATGAGTGGTTCCCGAATACATTTTGCCTCTTAAATATAACAAAAATGTTGAAATTTTAAACAAATTATGATGGTTGACTTAAAGTAAAACTTCACAACATGAAATGCAAGATGTTCTGCAGCAAACAAATTAATAATAACTTCTTTGTGTTGCATCCCTTCAGGATACAGGCAATCATAGCTCTCCACAAATTCATATACCTTGTGGCTTTTAGAAGTTTTTCTTCTGTTGCTAAGCCTTCCACACCCTGTTCCACCATCTATTCACGCAAGATTTCTGCCTTCCCCTATCTCTCTTGCTCTCAATATGCCCTGTGAGGGTTAAGTTTTCCAAACTCTCCTTCCTCATTAAGTGTCCAAATAATTTCAGCTACTTTTTCCTGATTCTGAGTATAAATGTTCTTTCTGATTTTTCTTTAAAACTTCCTTGTTACTTACTCACTCCATCCATTACACATCCAAGCTTACAGTACCTGATATTCCCAAGTAGTTACCTATCTAGGTATTGACCAAGCTTGACTTGCTTAACTTCAGTGATCACACAAGAGCCAATGTTTCAACATGATATGGCTATAAGCCACACATGTAGGTAAAGTGTTGCATGTATGATTCTTTTTTTTTAGCTAATGTTTTTAAAGGTAAATCCCTAAACAACATTCAAACAAAGATAGATATTCAGGTGGCATAGGAATATCAAGTTATTGTCAGTTGCTTGCTCCTATTAATCCCAATAGTCATAAAAAGAAAATTTGCAGAGAAATAGAGAGAAAGGCAGATCATATGATGCTGAATACAAACTGTAAATAAGACTGAACCATTTAGTGTGACATACATAGAAAACAATTTATAGCAAGCAAATAATAAGGAAGAAATCTACACATGTAGTTGGTATATAAAATGCTCATAGCTGAAATATATAACTATGTGAGTCTTTTTTAGGATGATGAAATATGTCCTGGTTGTGAAAGCATCATTTTGGGGAGATGTTAACATGTACATCTAGCTACAGCGATGAACTGATGAGAAAAGTTTTGAGTCTCATAATCAATGATTGGAGGGAGAAAAAAGAGAAAGAAAGGGAGTTGCTTCTTCTTTTTATACAACCTGCAAGCGATTCTGATTGGCTTCATGGGAACCTACATAATGTCTATTTCTGACCACAGAAACAAAAGTACGACATGCTGATTTTAATTTCCACTAGACTCTACAAAAAAAAGTGTAAAGGGGAATTTTGATAAGATTAATAACAGGAGAGTGGGGAAAAGAAAGAAAGAGAATAAACAGCAAAATATTAATACCAGAGTGTGAGAGAAATACAAGCATACAGATGCTGCAGAAAATTTTTCAGAAATTTATTTTTATCTACTTTATTCTCAGTGAAATTAGCTTGCAAAAATTAAAGTATAAAATTTCAGTTCTTCTCTTTTCAGAACTCTTTATATCTTACAGTTTAGAAGCCATCCAAAAAGAATATTCTAGTGGCTGCTTTGAATTAAAAGCTTCAGCCTCAAACCTTGAGAAGGTCAAACTTTCATCTAGGTTTGAAAATGTTATGATCTGTGCCTCTTAAAAGAACATTGTCATTAAATATTTGAAATAATTTGTGATCATTCAAGATGTGTTCAAGTAAATAAATCATTACTTATTGAGGTAATGGAATATACACATCTGACACACTCACATCTACTAAAAAATGAAACTCCTCAATCATGCAATAGATGTCAAGTACCTCTCACATTTGAATATATACTCATAAGTTCCCATCATCTTAGTCAAACCCAAACAAAATATTATCAAGTAAATAATATGATGTAATGGAATAACCTGGCACCCCCATGAATGATTATACTATAGGTAGTAAGTACCTATAAAGTTGACTGCCTACGAGAGATGGGGTAGACGTGAGAAGAGTGACGATACAAGCACATCTTCCTATTTGTGGCACTCACTACTAGATTGACCTATGTGTATAACTGTACGGTATTTCATATTGTACTGGTTGTGTACAATAAACCTTTCTTCTATTATCCACCTGGTGTTAAGTATTTATTCCTTTAGCATGGAATATAACAGTGGATCTCATCCTCGTCTCCACTGTTATATTCCTTGCTAAGGGAATAAATACTAACACCAGGTGAAATAGAAAAAGGTTTATTGTACACAACCAGTACAATATGAAATACGGTACAGTTATACACACAGGTCAATCTAGTAGTGAGCGCCACTAATTGGAAGGTCGGATGTGCTTGCATCATCTCTCTCTCACTCTTCTCATGTCTACCCTGTCTCTCGTAGACAGTTGACTTTATAGGTATTTACTACCTATAGTGTAATCATTCATGGGGGTGCTGGGTTATTCCATTGCATCATAATACAAAATAACTCTTCCAAAACACTAAACCAAAAACTATCCTTAACTTGTTAAAGGAAATCATTATTTTATACCAAAATATAAAACTATAAAACCTCCCAGCAAAACTGCATAAAACCTTTAAAATAAATATCCCTACTCAAGCTCCAATAACCAACTTGTATCAAAAACTGAATACAAAATAACTTGTATTAGAAAACAGCATCTCTAATAATTGATTAAAAAGAAAAAAAAATTTTCACCAACTAATCCCTGCACTAATCTGCAAACATCATCAAGCTATACCCAAAACAATCATGATTCAAAACCTATATCTGGCCTTAAATAACCCTATAGTGGTTGATGGATTGTTACACAGAACCCAAACCTATTGTGGTCTGTAGAAACCATCTGGCTTAAACAGGATTATATAATTCACATCATTTGATCAAAAATTAATTACAAAGGTCAGATATTACACAATGAAAATTTGCTTAAGTCAGTTCTCAAAATAACGTGAAATTTGAGAAAAAGCAACAGCTCATGACATACTTCAATAGAGAATGAATAAATACTTGATTGGACATTATTGTTTTACATCTGTTTCTTTGTTTTCCATTGGTTTAATAATATTATATTTTTCAATGATAATCTCTTGTTGAAACTGTAGGTATCAGTTAGGCGCATACTTCAGGATCGTAAAAGCTCCCTATCCCATGCGGCCCTGAGCAGTTTTTTCTAACTTTTGCTAAGCTTCCACCCCATTCTGCCATCCGTTCACACAAGCTCATCAAGTAAGTGGCTTTCATCAACTAACCTTTACCTAAAACTATCACTGATTCACATATAAATAACCCTATAGTGGTTGAAGGAATGTTAAGAAGAAACTAAACCAAACTTATTGAGATCTGTAGAAACCATCTGGCTTAAACAGGATTATATGATTCACATCATTTGATCAAAAATTAATGCAAAGGTCAGATATTACACAATGAAAATTTGCTTAAGTCAGTTCTCAAAATAACATGTGAAATTTGAGAAAAGGCAACAGATCATGACATACTTCAATAGAGAATGAATAAATACTTGATTGGACATTATTGTTTTACATCTGTTTCTTTGTTTCCCATTGGTTTAATAATATTCTTATATTTTTTCAATGATAATTTTTTCAATGTTTTTGAAAATTTTACCTGACAATAAATCACAGCAGCATCTTCCTCCAAAGCAAGATAACCATGGCCACAGTCAGAAGGAATTAATATTTGCAGGCCATTGGTAGATGTTAGATGAACAGCTGCCCACTGGAGATAGCTTGGAGAATCTGGACGCATGTCCACAACCACATCATATACTGATCCTCGCACACAAGTTAACAATTTTGCATATGGAGAAATATGAATTCCACGAACAGAATTCTGAAAGAGAAATATTAAAAGAAAAAATTTAAAGTAGTTTAAAGCATAGTGAGATTAACACATTTAGAATAAACTTGTCTTATAAATAGAATAATGCATAATAAAAAGAGATGGGTTGTGTCCCCACTAGTAAGAGGAGAGTAGATCCCTGGAGAGGCTTGATGGAAGTCAGTTTATTGTATTGTTAGATTACCATTTATTCCAGTATTTACAGAATTCTTTTAATGAAAGGAAATATTCCAATTCCAGGAAGATTGAAAAAGGCACCTAAAGTGGGTTTTTTCTAAGAAAAAGTTTCTAAGTTCTTCTAGGATATCTTTTTTTGTTTAAATCATTTTACCCCAAGACAGCCGGGAATGCCACTAGTATGAAGGGAGTCACAGGGAGTGAAAGTGAGAGAAAAGACTGTGTGGGGGGGGGGCTGATGAAAGGAAAAAAATGAATGACATTCAAGATGATAGAAAATGTCGATTGACATTGCATTAAAAATTTTTAAAGGTTGCAGTTATCAGGGAAACAAGTAAATAAAAGGGAGTTCTACAGTTGGGAAGTGTGAGAAAAGAAATTGTTGGAGTAGAAATGGTGGTTACATTTCATCAGTAAATGGATGCCAATCTAGTAGCACATTTAAATTCATATAGTAGGGGAACCAGGGAAAAAAGCTTGTCAGAGCAGTTGCCATGAATGTATTTATAGAAAAGACAGAGGGAAGCCACATCATGTCAGTGAGAAAGTGACTGAAGTCAAGATGCCAAGTCAGGATCAATTACATTATGCTGTTGGCAATTAGATATTGAGCTTGGTTTGGTGGCATAGAGTTGCTGTGAACAGTGAAAAAGAAAAAAAAAAGGTTTCACTATTCTTCTGTAATGAAGAGGAATAAAGAAAAAAAATAACTAAACATTAACAAGTTCAATACATGAAGTTGGATTTGAAATTCTTAGGAGATTGAACCCAAATTGAACTTTAGGAAAATCCAGTAAGGCTGTGTATAACTGAAAAACCCCTGCACATACCCATTGCCCAAAACAGTACAAGCTTTGACAGGTGATTGATTCTAATCCCTAGCTAAAAGGGTGTTTTCTTAAACAACCAACTATATGAATTTACATTAATTTTAAGGAAATCATTATTTCAATGAAAGGATTTTTAAAAGAGAAATTTAAAATCCAAAAACTAGGTCTAGGAACCATATTTTTAGAGAGGCATTTGTGAACAAATAAAGCTTTCTAAAAAAATGAGATTAATGATTTGATTTCACTGATCCATCATCTTGTCAGGTTAGGATAGCGAGGTCCATAAAAGAAGAAGTCTTTTTGAGTTGAGAGTAGTTGGTGATTAGATTTGGTTAGAAAAAAAAAAAAAATCGCAGTTGGTGTTGTCAGCTGGTGGATAGTCATATTTTTGATTCTTCAATCACATGACCAGACAAGAGTGAACACATAGACTGGTTCTCTCTCTCTTCCTCCCAGTGGAGGATTCAAACCACTTGACGAAGCCAACCAAATACTGAGAAAGAGGAAAAAGGAATGATGCTCCCTGAATGGATCAGTGTTCAGGGAAGTGACCTTCTAAGTCCATCAAGCCATCTTTGAAGATGAGATGACCAGTAGAGGGCATGTGTGGGAGAGGTAAATAAGATACCTCTCCCACACATGCCCTCTACTGGTCATCTCAGTCATTTAGTTCTGATCAGAGTTCTTAACCTTGAGATGTCACATTTATTACCATTTCAACTAGTAGATGACCTGAAGTGACAAGAAAACAAAAACAACTACAAATACTAAAATTATCTATTTTAAGTGAGTAGTCAGTCAGTTATGTGCCATGCGTAATACACACTTAGGTGATCATGTATCTTTTGATACATGACTGACGAGGCAGATTCTTTCCCACAGTAGGTTGCCATTTATTTCAGTGGTAGACCAGTTGCCATCCAAGGCTATAGAACCCGGTCTGTCCTGCTATTTACCCGTAGCTGGAGGGGAGAAGAAGAGGATCCATACGTTTCCCAAGGGTATTAGCACATAAAATGAATGTAATGGATTCGACTGGAATTCGAATTCTGCTCTCTGATTCCTCAATCGGAACCGCTATCCATTATTTCACCAGGAAGGAATCTATAACATTTTTTGTGACAATGGAAATAAAAGAAAATGAGACTTGATGAATTGTTGTTATAGATTCATCTTAGCCAAGATGATGTATGTTAAAATTATTGAATTGAATTTGATTGTTTTCCTCTAACACAGACAGTAAACCAAGACATTACCTCATGACCAACATACACTTTAGCAAATCAAGACATTACCTTACTACCATTGCACACTACAGCAAACCAAGACATCATTACCAACACACATTGTAACAAGCTAGGGACAGTTTATATATATTTTTTGTACTATCAGAAAAGAAATAGTTTAAAATATTTTGATTGGACCAAATTACTCACTAATCTTTGTTGCATGCACATGATCAGATATATTTGGTTTCTTCAACACCCTCAATGACAACTTATAGTTTTATACTGCAACTAAGCTGAGCAGACCTTAGTTACAGTTTCTGGGAAAGACTGTATAATTTGGCATGATGAACAATTTGAACAAAACCAGTACACTCTAACCCTCAGTCACGATGACTTGTGACTTTATGCTTGCACAACCATTGAAGGCTCCCAAATAGTTCCAGTTTCACTTAAATAGCTTAGGTCAACCCATAGTATGCTTTCAGATTACCAAGAAGTCACCTGCCTAACAAATTAACCCTGGTGAGATTAGAATTCATGTTTTATGGTTCTAACCACTCAGCCAATGCACTCATATACAAGAGTAATGCTCTGCTATAGGAGTTCATTAGCCACAACTCAGCAGTAAGGAACCTAAGCATTTACAGCATAGGTGCTTCTATATTTTATATGCAGAGTTACTGTTTAATGGATTTGAAAGCATAAAGCCTGAGGCACTTGGTAAAGACCATACTTCTTTGCCCCCTTTGGATTGGCATGACAGAATCACAAAGAACTGTACCAAATAACAAAAAAACATATCACTTGGGAACTACTAACAGCAGCAACAACTAAAATAGACATCATATATAACTTGAAAAGAAAAAAGACATAATCAAGATGTTGACATTCCACACTACTTCAAATAAAAGGCTAGTAAGGAAAACCATAAAGAGCTACTGGACAAAACCTGTTTATTGGAAAAATTATTTTAAGAGAAAGATTTTATAAATTTCAAATGAAATCAGTACTAGCTGCTTGGTCAATGAATGCCAAATGTTTCCTTGTAGGGAAACTGCTAATATTACCATTACATTGTTAGTGATAATTATAATTGCCTAACATGTACATGTAAATAACTCACATGTCAAGGATTTAAAATGCAGAACTACTTAATGATAATAAATTATTGATATCACATTAGATGTTAGATGCAAATTTGTATTGACAGTTTTGGTGAAACTCACTGCTACATCAATTTTTCCTACACTTTAATAGTCCTTTCATATGCCAGCAACAACTATCAGCAGATGCAGGAGTTCAGGGAACAAGAAAGCTAACACAAATTTACCATACATCAGAGGCGTGATGAAGATCCAGAAAAAATACAGTCAGTATAACATCAAGACAATATTCGAAAATAGTCCCATCAAAGTAAAAGTATGAATGAAATAAAACCTGACCAAAAACTGCAAATACAACATTCTTTACAATTGAGGCAAGGAGTATACAAAGGTGGCATGAAACATTGTCTAAAAAGATTTAAGGAATTTTGGGAAGTGTACTAAGTGGAGGTATGGCTGATCATATGAAAAGAGAGAGAGATACATTAATCTTTATAGAATAGTAAAAAAAATAAAAGAAATGGAACAGTAGTGACAATAAGATGGATGAAGTAATAAAAATATTAAAATCGTTTGATCAGCAGTCCAAGCATAGATATCAGTAACATATAGTCAACACAAAAAAAAAAGATAAAAGTGATTCTCAAAACATGATTATAAAAAGGAAAAAACCTGCTGATGAAATGCAACTAGTTCATTGAAATTAAATTCAGGAGAGGACAATCCTAAGAGCTAGCTGGTAGACAAAGGCACAAAATGTGAAATGTATAAGATGGAAAGCATATGGCATATGTCCTTTCAGAGTAATGTTCTGATATTCAAAAATGGGGTAGGAAATGGCTTGTAGATTTTAATGCCTCCAAAACAAAACTGCTCTCATTTAAACACCACAGAGAAACTTCCCTGCCCACCATCAGCATGGTTGATGCTCAACTCCAGGAGAACATCTCAATGCATCTTCTTGGCCTAACGTTTTCAACTGACACGAGGTGGAACTACATTGAATCAATAGCTGCATCTACTGCAAAGACAGTTGGTTCACTGTGTCATGCCAGGAGGGTATTCTTATCAGAGTCCATCTTACACATTTACCATTCGTCTGTGCATTGAATACTGTTGCCATATCTGGTCTGGTGCCCCTGCTTTTCATCTCGAGCTTCTTGACAAAATCCAAAGAAGGGTCTGCAATCTAATTGATCCTGACTTGGCATCTCAACTTCAGTCACTTTCTCACCAACATGACATGGCTTCCCTCTGCCTTTTCTACAAATATTTTCATGGCAACCGCTCTGACGAGCTTTTGTCCCTGGTGCCTGAACTAGATGAATTTTAGCGTGTTGCTAGATTGGCATCTAGGTCCAACCCTTTTACTGTTGAAATAGTTACCACCACTTCTACTCAACAGTTTCTTTTCTTGCACTTCCTGACTATGAAACTCCCTTCCTCTTACTTGCTTCCCTGATAACTTCAATTTTCAAGAATTTAAATGCAAAATCAATTGGCATCTCCTGTTGCCTTGATCCCCATTTATCTTTAATTATTTCCTCCGTCCCCCTATGCCCAGTCTTTTCTCTCACTTTCACTCTCTGTAACCCCTGCATGCTAGTGGCACCCCCACCTTGCTTGGGGTGGAATGCTTAAAAAAAAAAAAAATAAAATAAATATAACAGAAGCTAAAAGAAGATTGAAGTGTATAGTGGTGAAGTTGTGATAAAAAAAAAATAATGATGAAATTAGTCTCAATGAGTCAAAATACAAAGCCTTTATGGAATTTTGTCTTAATTAGTTGTTTCAGAATAGGAGTAGACATGTTCACCTACTGTCTGATTCGCACCCCTCCCCGGTCTTTTGAACAGGAGTAGAGGTTTATTTAGGATTGGGTTTCCAGTTCCTTCTAAAGTCTGCTTCAGCTCTATATGCTTAACATCTGTGCCTGAATTCTAAAATTTTATTCACTAACTATTTATTTAATTTTATTTTTTTCTCTTCTCCACCAATAGGAGTAGATCTGTTTTGTCTATCATCCAGTTTACTCTCCCCCTCGGTCTTTTAGAGGTTTATTCCTTATTTCCCATTTAGGATTGGGTTTCCGATTCCTTCTAAAGTCTGCTTCAGCTCTGTACTCCTAATGTTTGTTCTTTCCTATGCTAATGTAAGTTCACTCAGTAACCATCTATCTTGAGTGGCTCTTGAGTCTTGTACTGGGTAAACACTAGTAAAAAAAAAAAATCACTATGAATATAAAACACTTTCTGCAATTATATTTCATGAAGATAAGGAACACTTTTTTATATATAATAAAGCCTAAATCTTCCGTATTGTATATGTTTTCCTTTAGATCGCTATAGAAAACTACAATGACAAGCAAAAGAAATTATTCAATAGATACAAAGGAAATTACTTTTATCTATTTATTTTTAAAAAGAACACAAATAATATTTCAAGTGTATAAAGAAAAAATGCCCAACCTTATGATTACTTGACCATGTGACCTGCTGAACAGGAAAATATTTGGTGATATCTTCAGGGTATGCATTCATATTGAACAATTCTGCAAGATGTCCTCTATGATCCTGATGTAGCTTCACGCTTACAATGTAAGCATCTTTGATGTGAAGTGGAATAAACTCCATATTTCTTTGTTATCTAACAAAATAAAAAGAGATCCTTTTTTTAAATTAAAATAAACAATGGTGTATAAAGGAACTTGTTTTTTAGATAAAAATAAACTATGTCAAATTCTTTCATTTAAATTTTTTTTCTGTCATAAGTTTATTTCTTGTTTGAAGGGGGACATATTTTGAGTTGAAATTCCAAGATAATATCAAACTAACAATTACACACACATAATATGATAAATATACATGTATACCTAGCTATTAGACTGAGTCCTAAGTAATTTCCTTTTTGGAGAATCAATTGTATTGACAAATGTATCATTCTAACTCACCATGAAAAATGAATTATTCATGACAATGATCAAAACAAACGGCAATGAATTGACAAGAATAAATCACAACTAGCATCAGGTTAGCAATGGTGAAGTTATAAAAACAATAGCAACAAAAAGAGCTTTTATATTTAAAATCAAGAAGAGGTAGTTGAAATATCTGAGGAAAAAAATAAACTTTAAATCAAATTATTTAAATTTTTTTCTGTGAATATTATTTCTGGTTTGGAAGAGGGCATATTTTAGTTGAAATTACAAACTGGGAAGTGTATTAACAGATGATGGAAACTGTGACAATGAAATCTGAAGGCATATTGGGATAGTGAAAGATGTCTTCCAAAAGCTGAGCAAAGTATTAAGAAACATAAAAATATTGTTAGAAACAAAGAAAAGTGTACTGAAATGTTATGTAATATGATTCCTCATATATGGCAGTAAATTCTGGACAATCTTCTCAGAGGAAGAGACTTGAAGCAACAGAAATATGGTTCTATAGAAAGATGTTGAGAATACCTTGGACAAAACATGTGAGCAATGGTGAAGCTATAGAGACAATGGTACAAAAAGTTACATTATAAATAGGAACAAAGATCTGAATATTTTTTCTTTAGATAAAATAATTTTACAAAGAAGAAAAGTTCCTGAACTTTGTGCTGAGTCTGTGATGTTTAACAGAAATGTGCATGCAGTTAATGTTCATTTGTACCAAGCCTACTGAGTCAGTTTGTCAAGAGGCTTTATGCTATATAATCAGGAGGAGGCACAGTAGAGTAATAGATAGCAGCTTGGATTGAGGAATCAGAGAGCTGAGTTCAAAATCCAGTCGAATCTGTTACTTATGTGCTAATACCTTTGAGAAAGGTATGAATCCTCTTCTTCTCCCTCCAACTATGGGTAAATAGCAGGACAGACTGGGTTCTATAGCCTTGGATGGCAACTGGTCACCGCAGAAATAAATGGCAACCTGCTGCAGGAAAAAAATCTGCCTTGTCAGTCATGTATTGAAAGATACATGATTGCCTAAACATGTATCATGCATGGTACATAACTGACTGAATCAGTGTTCAATTATTATGCAAATTAGTCACTTTTACAGAAGTTCATCCCTCTCAGAAATAATCATTTTTTTTCAAAAATTGTTTTTCATATTACTATCGAATAAGCATGCCAGATCACAAATATCAAATTTTTAAGAGGGTGTTCTGTTTTCAGTGTAAAAAAAAATCACCATTCTCATCTAAAGCTTGACAGACCATTTCTTCAATAACCATCAAGACGTCACTGGTTGATCTAGAGAAGCAAAAGCCATATTGTTCTTCAGAAAGAAGACCCTGTGAGGTGAGATGCTTAACCAATTTGGAGCTGACTAGAGTCTCTAGTACTTTGCCAAAAAAGGTAAAAGACTAATTTACTTATTATTTATTTAATTTTGATAATTTGAAGGATCAGACAGTTCACCATTCTTAAAAACAGGAGTTACAGAAGATTTCCCAAAATGTGGAAAGCAAGAAACAGCAAGGCCTCTATCATAGAGAACAGCAGCCAATTCAGGAGTACATTTCTTAAGGACAATTGCAGTCCACATACTTTGTGGGATCAAGTTTGGAGATGAAAGAAGAAACCATAGACAGAATTATATGCATATCATACAATAGAAACATTGAAACATGGGTTCCCATACAATCACCAAAATTAAGCAACATTGAGCCTGGTCAGTACTTAGATGTGTGACTGCTTGGGAATACTAGGTGCTGTAAGCTTGGATGTGCAGATGATGTCATGGATAATAACTCAGATTGTTACTTGAAAAGACAAGTTCCAATTCCAGTCAAGTTCATTATATTCATTTACACACAAATACTCTTGGAAAAGGCATGAATCCACCTCTTCTCTTCCCAGATATGGGTTAATTAGTAAGACTTGTATGACTAAATCATTATCTAAAAAAATTTTTTTACAATCTAAAAATATTTTCTAGCTTTAAATAACCTGAAAAGAAAGATAAACTGTAGAAAATAAATCAATCAAATACTGATTATCTACACAGACATGTCTTTTAGATTTATTTCCATTCTCTGGAATATAAATGTATAGAACCTACCATGACCACAAAGTGAGGGGACAGTTTATATATAGATTGTAATATGGAATTGATCTCCCCATTTTATATCCACATAATTTCTTGATTGTTTATCAAATTCTGATTAGGTGTGAATCCACAGCTTCTCACCTTGCTATGGGTTAATTAGTAAGACTGGCATCACTAAATCATTATTATCTCCAAAAAAGTTCTTCCAATTTAGAAATATTTTCTGGTTTTAAATAACCTTCAAATGGGTTATACCATATAAAACAGATCAATCAACCAATAATCTGATCTTTTATTAAGCAACATTTTGAGAACTTTCTAAAAGCAGTGTTTGAAGCCAGTATTCAACAAAAGTGAGAAGGGTTTCAAATCATCGAGTTATGTTTCAAGGAACAAGAAGTTCTCATTATTTGATGCAAGCAGAAAAACAACAATGGAAAAAATATATGCAACAATAAGCAAGCCAGGATTATGTTGATATAACATACCATATAATACACCATATTTTTGAGTGTATAATACAAGAAAGTTTGTACAGAAATTAAAAGTGAAAAGGTAGGGACTATATAAACAAGTACATGTTTGCAGAAATTTTTCTTTTTTCTTCTTTTATGTGTCGTTTCCCTTCAGGACATAAGCAATCATGGCCCTACATCTTCCTTTCCCTTGTAGCTCATAAGTTTTGTCCTTTTGCTACTTCTCCTAAACCCTGTTCTGCCATCCATTTTCTCAAGGCCATTAAGTATTTTACATATTGCTTTCCTCTGTTCCTCAATCTGTCCTGTGAGTATCAGATTTTCCAAGTCCTCCTTCCTCATTACATGCCCCAGAAATTTCAACTGCCTCTCGCTGATGTTAAGTATAAGTTTCCTTTTTGTTTCAATTCTCACCAAAATTTCATTAATGCTCACATGTTCGGTCCATGGTATCCTCTGCCTTTTTCTGTGGAACCACATTTCTGTTGCTTCAAGTCTCTTTTTCATCTTTGAGGAGATTGTCCAACATTCGCCACCATACAGGAGGACAGATATCATGAAACAGTTCAGTAGTCTTTTCTTTGTTTCCAACAAAATTTTTCTGTCTCTTAATGCTCTGTTTTTGGAATACAACTTTGGCTATCCAAATATGTCTTCGGATTTCAGTGTCACACTTTCCCTCCTCTGTTAAAACAATTCCCAGGTATCTAAATTTCTATATTTGCTTGATTTTAGTATTCTTGAGCTGTACTTAGCTTAAAAAAAATATTTTATTTGAAACAGCAAGATTACAAATACATTCTGCACAATAAAGCACAAAGTAGTCAGGTGTTGATAACAATTGTTTACAAAAAGTATTTGATATTTTTTTTAAGCATATCACCCCAAGCAAGGCAGGAGTGCCACTAGCATGCAAGGGAATACAGAGAGTGAGAGCAAGAGTAAAGAGGGGTGCTTGAGGAAAGGATAAAGAGAAGGATGGGGATCAAGATCAAGGCATCAGAAGATGTTGATTGACATTACATTTGAATATTTGCAGATTATAGTTATCAGGGAAGCAAGTAAGAGGAAGAGAGTTCCACTGTTGGGAAGTGTGAGAGAAATAGCCGTTGGAGAAGAAGAGACAGCTACATTTAACTGTTTTGACAGTAAAAGGGTGGAAGTGAGATGCCAACCTTAAATTCATGCAGTTTGGGTACCAGTGAAAGTAGCTCATCAGTTGCTATGAAAATATTTGTAGAAAAGACAAGGAAGCCACAGCATGTCTGTGAGAAAGTGGCTGCAGAAGAGATGCCAGATCAGGACCAATCATATTGCATATCCATCTCCGGATTTTGTCAAGGACCTCAAGATGAACAACAGGGGTACCAGACCATATATGGCAGCAGTATTCAATGCAAGTACAAATGGTTGATTTGTAGATTTGAAGGATGGACTCAGGCAAGAAAAACTTTTTGGCGCAACACAGAGAACCATGTTGGCAATATTTGTTCTATGGGAATCTGTGTAATTGAATGTTGTCTCAAAGACAGGAAATTCACCAAAATTTATTAAAAAAAAATTAATGAAGGGAATACTCAAAAGTCATCATGTTTTGAAAATATTAATGTTATAACAAAGGTCTATTATAAATTATTTACTTTTTCACTTGAAAAATGGGGCTATAACTCCCCTGTTGTGAGGTTTTTTTTTTATATTCCTCCATTTGTTGATACAAAATATGCAGTTTGAAAACTTCATAATTATATTAATACATAGTGTACACTGGTACTTGTAATTTTAAATTGAGAAATATTATGACAATTTATGTAGATATGACATTAATATTTTAATGGATAATTGGGTACAACTTTACAAAAGTTTTACATAGGGATGACTATGAGGGTCATATTATACTAAAGGATGACTATGAGGGTCAATACTAAAGGTTGTAATTTATTCCCTGTTTTTAGCTTCAGAAACATGGAGTTGTATTATACTCAAATTGTATTATACACAAGAAAATACAATAGGTGACAAGGAAAA